GCAAGATGATTGCAAGTTCAAGATCTCCCTAGTACAGAACAGACTGAGGTCAAGTCCAGCCTGAACAAAATAAAATAAACAAGTAAATAAGAGAATAAATCTCAAATAAAACATAGAGAGTGTGGAAGACATTACCTGGTGACAGAGTTTGTCTAATGTGTTGAGACCTGGATTCAATCTCCAGCACGCAGAAAAAAATCAATTTCATTTTTCACTATTTGATAATGTCAGACTGAACTCCCACATTCATAAAATTGTATTTTAAAATCAAGAGAGATGGCTCAGGGGTTAAGAGCACTGACTGCTCTTGCAGAGGACGTGGGTTGGATTACCAGCACCCACGAACCGTCCTTAACTACGGTTCCAGGGGAATCCGAAGCCCTCTTCTGAACTCAGCTGCATTGCATGACATGGGTGCACTCACATGCATTCAGGCAATACACTCATACACATAAAATAAAAATAAATAAAATATTTTAAAAATCAATCTACTCTTTACAAGCATATCTACAAGTAATCAGGCATTATATTTATGAAAGATCAATTTCTCCGTGGTAGAATGTTATTGTTTCAGTTTCCTGCATTATTTAACTTTATTTCTTTTTCTTTTTTTGTTTTGTTTCATGGGGTGGAGGGGCATGATTTTTTGAGACAAGATCATTTTATGCACTATGGCTAATCTTGAACTTGAGGCTTGAGGTGGTCATGTTTCATTTTTACCAAATGGCAGTGAAGCTATTAGGGTTTAAAAAGCAAAGAAAATCCAAGATTAATTGAGAAAGGACGGGTGAGAGAGTCCATTATTCCACTGCCTCTGGATTCATTTCCAGTCCATAATTTACAACAGCATTTGGGTGATTTTCTTAAACACAAAAGAATAAGTGTGCCAGGCTTTTTGTATTACATTGTAAGATTTTCAACAAATTGCCACTACTCCAAGGAAAATTCAATCTTTTTAGTAATTTACACAAAATTCTCCCTCATCTATCCCCCCACTTGTGATCAATGTGGACAACTTGCACTTTGCTGACCTTTCCTGACTTCAAAGATTGACTTCAAATCTCTCATGCTCCAGCTAATGATTAAAAAGTATACTTTCAATTTTTGCTGTTTATGAAAGTAGGGTGAGCTGGGCTAGAAGACTGCAAATCACGAGTTCATTGCACTACCAACTCTACAAGCTTTCTTTGTGACCACTTTCATTACCTTTCCATCCCCAGTCACAGAACAGCATGCATCCTTCACCACCATCAATACCAGCCCCAGGCTAGAAAAACTGAAGCCTGAGACAAAAGGAAGCAGTATTAACTCAAGTCCTCTCTTTATACCTTGTATACTTGGTTTATCATGAATTTTTGCATTGATTGCTGAGTTGGGGAGGTCCTAATTCTGCTCTGCAATATCAACACACTATTATACATTGTAATTACCTACATGTGTTGTCAGTGCTAGACTACGATCACCGCTGAGGAGAGGGATTACTTTGTTTGGCTTTGCCAAAACTAGGCAGAAGCCCACTGAGTGAGGATGAATAAAAACACAGAGAAGATGAATAACCAATGTTCTTTAAATGATAAAACAGCAAAAATCTTTTATGGGGAGTGGCAGCAAATGCCTAATATATAGAAAAATGAATTTTGATTGTATTTTCTTTAATAAGAATATCTTGCTTGGAAGTAAAGTTATTCATTAGATTTTAAAAAAAAATAATGATGTATTTTTGGCTCAGAATATGGGATGTATGCGTTGTAAGGATACACTTATGCTTATAATGAGATTTATAGATTATTGAAATTGAAATAAATTGTAGATACTATTTAATATATTTCCTCCATGTTTTCAGTTCTGGAGTGGTTACATGCCTCATTTAAAACAACAGTGTTGATAGAATGAAAATTAGGTGAACCATCTTACCCTTGCTTTTCAACTGCAAATCGCTCTCAACTTTAGAAGGGAAGACCCGTGGAATAAGAAAACTAAAGAATATAGGCTTTTTCCCCCCACTTTTTCTGGACCAGACAGAATCAATCGATTTATAGATAAAATAACACACATATTTTTAATGTAGTACTTGAAATGAGGTCCCTGCTAAAGTGAGTGATTGAAAAATGACCTTTCAAAAGTTCATTCTAGCCTTGTGCATTTATCTTTGTCATTAACTGATCTGTGACTCATTTCAACTATAAAAAGAGAGTGACTCCACTCTCTCCTTGAAGATTTGTGAGGCCCAATATAAAGTGCTTGTCCCTGAAAGTGCTAAGGAGATACACAGAGGCAAGTCATTTTCACCATGGATTAATCATGTAAATACATATTTTATAACTAGCCATGTCTGAAGGAAATTAGAAGTGAGCATATGGTTGTTAGTGGCCAACTTGGAAATTAAAATTGAAATAAGCATATTTTCCAGCACAGTATGAAACAATCCTGAATTTCAGCTTTAAAGACAGAGACATTCAAAAGGTTCCATTCTCAGTCAAAAGTATCCTTTTCCACGAATGTCCAGGACTTTGGGAATCCCTCTTTACTCTTCTGAAGAATACTGAAAAGTGACTAAACCATCACATGAAAATACCTAACATGTCTCTGAGCTGTGGGAAGACAATAATGATGACCCAAACAAAAGTACTCAAAGAACTCAAGTGAACCAAGCCGTGCAGTACTACTGTTGCATGCCAATGAAATTATTTCTTTTTATACTAGCGATAAGATTTTTCTGGTCAATTTATTCTTCAAATAAACAATTTGGACAGTTTTGGTGCTTTGTGTGCTGGTCATGATGCCAGATACATGCAACCCTAGCACTTGGGAGGTGGAGAAAGAATGTTCTTGGTTTGAGATCAGCCTGGTCCACATAACAAGCTTAAGGCTACCTTGGGTAACATGTAAAAACCCTGCCTCTACGCCGCCTCAAAAAATTCAACGGGGATCTCTAGTCTATAAATCTGATGTCAAGTCTTTTTATTGTTTATTTACCTATGTGTTTGTTTGTTTGTTTGTTTGTTGTGTTTTGTTTTTGAGAAAGGGTCAGTCTCACGCCATCCCAGACTGACTGTAACTCACTGTATGGTGGCCTATGACTCATGGCACTCTTCTGATTCAGCCTCCCAAAAACTGGGCTTATGGTTGGAGCCATCAAGCCCACATTAGAGTTAGTTATTTTTAGTCCATTTAAAACCCATAAAACTTAAAGAAAAATGTCTTTCAAAGGAGGCCATTAAAACATTTAAAATTTAAAGAGGATGAATATGATTTACAAAGGAAGACATTAGACCAATAAAAGTGATAAAAGAATAAGCTCTCTTTTCCAAAGAAATAAAATAATTTCATTGGTTTAAGTGGCCACGGCTTTCAATCACATTTCTAAGCATTGGCCTAAAGTCCAAAAACCTTTTCACTCCTATGAAATAATTTTATAAGCTTTTATGTACAAATACTTTGTTAAATGTATACACATATTTACAGCTTTCACTGGGCTCATTTTACTGGAATCAGCTTATAAATGAGGGGTCCTGACTAGAAAATTTCTTCACCATCTTTTAGCCTTAAAATGTATTGATTCTAAGAAATATTTAGAAATATAAAAAAGAATGAGTTCTCAGATATAAAGGTCAATTAATATTTGTCATTTTAACATTTTATGTCTCTTAGTCGACCATTACAAAACAATGCAGTAACTGAAAACCGGGTACTAATTAATGTATTTTTTCCTAGAAAATAAGAGGTTCTGTCTATAAGATGGCCATTTTTATCAAATATTCTCCCTAAAAATACCCCGAACACATTCATTTGCACACATCTGGAACAGGTAGAAATATAGAAGAAAAATCTGGAAGCAATGCAACAGAGAGACCTAGACGGGCTATTTACCGACAGCTGCAAGAAGTTCATTAGGTGGCTAAGCCTACATGTTGAAAAGGAAAAATCAGCATGTGAAAACCTCGATAAATTGCATAACAGTGTCACTGGCGTCCCACCTATGGCAATGACATTTTTCTTCCCTTCTTTGCTGCTTTAAATACCTCAGTTTTAAAGCTTTATCAAACTCCCAGGAAACAAACACAAAACCTGCCCAGAAATGCAGAGGATGAGCACAAATCCTTTCCAGAAGTTAGGTAAAATTGCTCTCTATTGGGAAAAATATACAAAAGGCTGATGTGGGGCTCTTATTTTAGATGATTCTGGGATTCTGATCAAATTGTGTGATGTGATCTGCATCAAATCTGAGACAGGTATATTAGGTTTCAGATTAGTGCCCAGATTTTGATTTTCAGGAAATTAGTGTTTTTCACCTGTAGAACAGTCTATACCACATTTTTATTATATTTTGAAAACCAATCATCAAAATTGTACTAACATTTAATTATCTCAAAGTAGCTATATTAACAAATTTATTTGTTTTCCTCTGTTAGTACAGGAAAAACAAATATTTTGGATATGTTTTCAGACTCTAATTAAATTCCCTTCATTAAAGAATGGAGTGTCCTCTGCTAGATTATGGTTCTTTATCATGCACTGACTTTAAAGGTGAAAGAGATTCTCTAGGAGATGGTCTCTAACACAGCACCTAGAACACTGAAGGTTCCAGGCTCCGATAGCTATGTTCTAAATGTATACAATACATAAATGAATGAGCTACTCTGAAAAATAATTTATACAATGAATTTAATTTTGGCTCAGAGCACACAATTTCAAGTCAACTGTTAACTATCGTTTGACCAATATGTGCAAGAAAACACATTTCCTCTGGTCTGTGTCTTTGTTATTGATGCAGCAAAAGCTTGGTTCTATTGATCAGTGTTTGTTTTATTCCATTTTCCTTTAACCGACGTTTTGTTTCACAGAGAAAGTCCTTTTCTTGCAGGTGCTGAGAGGACTGCAAAGGTCACTGCATATGATTTCCGATAAACAATGCTGGGTAAAGGCAATGCCACTGGGAAATTTAGGGCGATTGGTTGATTTCCTAGGGTGTATTTAAAACTATTACAGTCTGCTTTCCCATTTCAGTGCAAAAATATGCATCGGATATCACCACTGGCCTTATTTCTCTTGTTCCCACTTTCCATGATGGTCTGTATTCTATCTAATTTGAACACTCAATAGATTTCTTTAAAAACCGTCATTCTCAAAAGAAAGGTGGTTCACTTTCTCATCATTGAGGAGTTAATTAACTCTCTCAATATCTGGCTTGTATTTTTTAATTGGAAAAATTACATAGAATTTTTATTTTAGTAAAGAATACTTATATTTAAAAACATTTAAAAAGACAGTCTGCATTTTCATCATCTTTTAGGAAATTACTATAGCAACAAAATTACATTAGACTTTCTGATTTCTCCATGGTGTCCTTAGATAAATAAACAACCCAGTAGACCATATTAAATGCTCCAAATGTGACAGGAAAGAGAATACGAGCGTATTTGTCTATTTTACTTGTGCCAGATCCGGAAGGTGGTGGAGCAGAAGGAGGAGGCATGACTGACACCTTCCCAGCAGTCCCTGCGGCATTAACTGTGGTCTTAATTCGCCCCAGTCTGGACCCAAAGGTTGGGCGAGTAGAAGCAGATCCAGCTGAAGCTGGCCGTGGGATACTTGTAGTTCCACAAGTAGGAGAGACTGCAGACGGAAGGGCTCTGGCAGCGGATATAGTTTCAGCTGCATTTACCCGGCTGAATGGGTTTGGACTGGAAGCCAGGTCTGCCTTAGCTGTGGCTTCAGAAGATTCCTGGACTGGGGCAGGCCTGTTGGAATGGTTTCCCACCTCAGTTTTGTTGCTGACATCGGATTCCGAATGGATCAAGGCATTTGTTCTTTTCCTCATGTTCAAATTGGCATGTGTATTCTGAAAAGATATATTAAAAATTACATTGGTTATGTAATTGTGTGTGGGTCTGTATAAATTCAAAGGTAGGAAAATATGTAAGATTAGTCACATCTATAAAGTAACCATTTTTAAATATGGTTGTTACCATTTAACTAACTGCTTGTTCCTAGCCATATTAGTAGAGAGTAAAAAGAGAAGTCACAGGGAGAGAAAAAGAAGAAGAGCAACTTATATATGTTGGACTAGAAGAAGCAGGCATCAGAGGGCATCCATGAAAAACCTATAACTGAGACCTGACTTTGGAGAGAAAAGCATTTTCTATATTTCTCAGTACTTTGTATTTTTTTATTTATTTTTACTATACTCAAACATTTTTAAAAGATTCAATCCATACCTCATATACTAAGCTATGACTTATGTCTTTAAGCTAAATGAATATAACGAAGAGGTAGAGGAAGAGGAGGAGGAGAAGGGTAGTTAATTAATTGAAATCAAAGTTGTCATCAACCTACAAGCAGAAGACACCATTACTTACCCTCTACTTTTCCTCTACAAATTCTGAATCTTTTATAGAAAAATAAAATTTTAATTAATTCTAAAATATTATACACATGGTAAAGAACATTAAAGTATATTATATCCCCAAATGTTTAATGTGTACTATTAGTGGTAAGGTATTACGTATATCCAAACAAAATAAACTGAAAAATATAGCCCAAAGTAAATACATTTAAAGTAAAAACTGAGATAGATTGCTAAGTAGGGCTGGTGAGAGGTCTTAGCCGGCAAAGGTGTTAAATAAGCCTGACCACCTAGGTTCAATCCCCAGGATCCACATGGTAGAAGGAGAGAATTGACTCCTGCAAGTTATTCCTTGGCTTCTATACTCACAGTATTGCATACACGTACATACATATCATACATACACATATACAAAATAATAAGTGTGAAGTTTAAAAGATGCTAAGTGTACTGAGCAGAGAAGAGAGTGAAAAAGGATGGGTGGGGCACACAGTAGGAAAGTCTGATAGCTTCACCCTTTTTTCTGCCACTGAAAGTTGGGACGTTTATGATCTTTAGAAACCTGCACTTTTTCTAATGCTAAAAACCTAACAGTTGGTGACTTCTCACTCCAGCCAAAGTAGAAACACAGAGAATGAATTTGCTTTCTTGATTGAAATGACAAAGACCTAGATAAAATATGCAAAGCAACTCCTTCTGAAGACACTGGACATCAAACATCATAGGATCATAAGCACTGAGAAAGAAGAAACAACCTTGATTTTCTATGCTGTGGTCCATAAAATGAACCTGTGGGGGTAGGGGGGGACAGGCAGAACTCCTAAGCAGAAGAGATGGATTTAAGATATGGTCCAAGGTGGTTAGCCTTACAGGACAAAGCACCCATGAAAAGAATCCTGAGCAAAGACCTCCAAAAATTCAGAGTCCCCGATGAATAGTTTGTTCATCCAAGAGCAGTTTACCAGTGGGAAGTACTTACCCAAGACTGAAAAATGAACAACCAGGAAGGATGGGAGATTATAATATTTGATACTGTCCCAAAGCCGATAATAGCAAATGCTTGTTCCCACTAGCAGGACTCCAAAGTGTCACCATGAACTCTGTAGTATGGAATAAATACCTCTAAACATAATGACAACAGTTCTATCCCTAATTCTGACTCATGAATTTTAATAGGAAGACTGAAAAGATAAAACTGATTTTAATAACTTACTCCAGAATGAAGTACAAGAATATTAATTACTTCTTTATTTCTAGACTAGCATCCTTCTGGAACATTCTAAAATCCTGTGAATAATGTTCTGTATACTGGCTATAAAAATTGAACCCAAGCCATCACATGTCTCTAGAGTCATGGCCTGTGTAATATCCACATACTCCCTCTCCATCAAGGGATGGAGTCTATTTCCCTAGAACCTGCCTTGGACAACTTTGTGTGGTGGTAATGTTAATATGTCATTTCCAAATCTGCCTCATGAGTTCTTATTTACTTCCACTCTCCCAAAAACCATTGCAACCAGCACAATAAAAAATAATCCTAAACTAACTTGTTTGAGGGTAGCGATCATTTAGAGCAGAACCAGTTATCCCAGTGAGGTCCCAGTGAGCTGATGGGTCTGTTCCAAGTAAGAAAAGATAAATTGCCTAAGCAAGCTAAATCAAGATGATCCATAAATTTGAAAGTGAAACAAAATGCTAATATTGTGGAGGCTTGTTATGCAGCACTATTGTTAAAATAGTTAATGTCTACAGACTAATTACTTGAAGGTTCTGATAAGAGGTGTCCTCTTCTGTGAAGGGAAGTTCCTCCAAGCTTTTAGGTTACTGAAACCTCACAGAGGGCCTTCAGTGGGTGCTGTTGCCTAATGTCACACACTAGCTAAATGACCAAGATTGGTTGTTACTCTTCATGATCACATTCGTCAACAATCACAACATTTTTAAACTGAGAGAAATGTAACGGTCATTTTACTTTGTTGTAGAGGAAAATAAACAAAGATTATGACTGGCTTGAAGTCCTACAGAGTATTACTGAGTGTCTAATTCTCTGCACCAAATAACATCTGTACTCAGAAATCTGAGAGGAATATTAAAACTTTACCAAAAACTTACTGCTGAGAAAATTTATCCAAAACTTGGAAATCAGAAATATGGAGTATCTTTTCAATGCCATAAACATATATTTGTCAGCAGTCCATTCAAGGATTGTTGAGGTTTCAACATAATTTGATTATGAGTTTGATTCAGTTATTTTCTATTTGATTAGAGATCAAATACTGTAAAGTTTCCATGTTAAGTTGTCTCTTCATGCCTAGTAGAAAAGATTAGCATAGTTTATAGTTTTATTTTTTTCTATGGAATTAGGAATTTTTGTATCCAAATTACCATATTCTAGAATACATTCTTATGAAAAAAAATGCTTAAGGGGCATGGTCACACATGCCTTTAATCCCAGCACTCTGGAGGCAGAGGCAGGTGGACCTCTGTGAGTTCAAGGGCAGCCTGGTCTACATAGCAAGTTCCAGGCCAGCTGAGGCTACATGGAGACACTGTCTCAAAAGGTCCAAAAAATCCTTAAGAGGAGCTGGGGAGATGGCACAGTGGATAAAGGGCTTGCAGTACAAGAGTGAGGACCTGAGTTTGAATTGCTGAGCAGACAAACCCAGAAGCTGTTGAGCACATCCCAGTTCTATGGCGAGATGGGAGGTAGCAAAGGAGCATCTCTGGAAGCTCATGGGTCAGGTGGGCTAGTCTGGTGCAACAGCACCAAACAACAGAGAGACTTCAAAGGACATGGAAAGCAGGGACTGATAGCTGAAGCTATTCTCTGACCTCCACTTACATGCTGATCACATGTGCATCCCCCCACAATCATACATGCATGCACACATGCTTATGGACTGCCATTTCCTTAAAAATATTTTAAGCTAATTTTCTATCTATGTATAGAATTAATGAGGTGAACAAATCTTTGACATATGTCCATTTGACATTTGTAGAGGTGTGCTTTTTGACAGTCTGAAAATTCTATTCTGGTATCTACTACTGAACAAGTTATGAAGACCAAAGAAATATAAGCACACACTTGAATAACATAACTAGAGATAAAGAATGAAAGAGATAGTTATTAATCTAAGGTAATTAGAAGAAAGCGGGAAGAGATGAGGATGGAGAAAGCAGTACAAACAATGTCATCAAAATAGCTGTCTGGAAACAAAGGTCTAATCTGTGCACATTCAATTAAAAAGCATTGATGAGCATCTAGAGAATAAAGATTGTTTTATTAATCGCTATAGTCCATATCCCGCAGTAGGAACCAACTTCACAGTTGATCATTTGCAACAAGATGAGTATCATGCAGAATCAAATTCTTTCAAACTGTTTTCATCAGAATTCTACACCTGGCTTGTTGCTTCTTGGTTTGAGGGGGTAGACTACTGAACTATTGTAGATAGCAACAAAGGCAAATTAACTACCTGGAATTAATCCCAAATCTGGCTGAAAAGATCTAAAATGTCTCAATAGACTCTATACTGCTCCAGTGTTAAGAAAGTGGAATGTGACTGACTTGAGACTTGTCTTTGTTTTCCATCAGTCACATAATATTCAAGTTTCTTTGCATTTATATCTGAAGGTACAGTCTGTGAAGCATTGTTGGCATTTCTCATGATGGCAAACCACCAAGGGACTGAGGGATCCATTGACCTGGCTGACATAGGACTCGTTAGGAATAATATTCACAGGAAAGTCAGATTTTGGAGAAAATGAAATGTCAATCAGAGTGATGTTGATTCATATAAAGTGCACAGACTTCAGTGGCTCCATTAGTACCCAGCAAAAACATAGTGGCTTCCAACAGGAAAATCACCTAAGCTTCATTAGAATTTTTAAAAAATGATTTAATTTGGAATCATTTTGTCATTAGTCACAATAGCCTGAAGCAAAGAAACTAGTGGGATATCAATGTGAGGTGGCAGATTCAAATATTACCAACAAATTAAAGCAGCAACAGGCAAACAGGAGCAGATCCAAGAAACTTGTCAATCATGACTGTGATCTGACACAACTTCTAAAGAAGTATCATAACTCAAAAAAATTAAAATTCATCTCAACTTATTACTCCAGCAGCAGAGGGATAAGTAAGATTGGGTTTGCAGAACGCAAGCAGCTGCATTCATATTCCTAGTCTGAGAAGCTAATGAAGTTTAATAAAATGTAATTTAGCCCTTCTAAATTAAAAACTAACAAGGCTAATAATGAACAGGGCTATCTTCCAGAATATCAATGTCAGACACACAAAAAATAAAAATCAAATAATGTAAAGACATTTATTCCCACTATTTGGACAGGCTTCAGGGATGGCTGCATATCTTATTTAATATGGAGATAAATAAGCATGGTAGAGCTGCTGCAAATAAACCCCAAGCTAATGATGTACTGAGAACTACCAACAGTGGTTCTAGAGAGTACTCTCATATAAAAATGAAAACCATTAC